ACACTTCATTTTTGAACCAGCCTCATAAACAGTAATTCTCCAAAATGAAAGGGCTAATTAAATAACTATCGACGATACCACACCATACGTTTACCGAAAACGTATGCTTAAAATTACTTTTTGTGAGGACTCGTCTGATCATACATGAAAGTTCGAAGTATTAGTTATGTCGTCACGGGTGAATGTTGCTTCATCCGTAAAAAGTATGCGCAATACAACAAGATTATTATTGGTCCATCGAAAAAACTGGAAACGTTTTGCATAATCTTCCAGTTGTAGGAGTTTTACTCTCTGTACATGGTATGGGTATAAGCCTTGCTCGTGAAAGATTTTTATTACTCTTTTTTGTGAAATAACCAATTGAATAGCAATGCTTTCTACTGGACCCAGAATATTTTATATTTCTAAACTTTGTCGATAAGCTCGTTCAGATGTTATACTCTGATAAATACATTTTTATTAGAACATCTGTGATGTAGAAACCGTTGATGATATTCTTCCACAGCAGCATTAGCATTCCTATTATAAAAACCATAAAGAAACACCTTATTGCATTTTCTAAATTTGTACAAGTTCTTGACATTATTTTTGTAACACTTTGATCATACAAACGTGTGATCAAATGTTACACTATTGCAACATAAAATGTCACTGACAAATATCCTACTTTTGAACATGACGTACACTGATTTAAAATTTTTAAAATTTGAAAACAAATGAAAATCGTATAACATTTGAGTTGATTCTTATTATTTTGATATTTTGACGTGTAGAATCCCTTGCTGTAGTTTGGTGCGATTCTCCCGACACACACTGTATAAAATAACTATTAAATGATATGAGATCCATTATTCTCTTTAGTGGTAGTTGACAATATTTAACAAAACATCACTCTACAGATCTACTGGTATTGTTTGAACGTCCCCAGTTAGATAAATACTATAGCATTGTTAGAGCATCTTCCACTCCAGTAAATACTTTTGTTTTTATTTGTAAATTATGAAAATTTTTGTTTTTTTATAAAATCTCCTGCTTTGTCTTAAACTTTTAAAACTGTTAGATGCTACATTCTTGATTTTTTATATACACTACGTTCAACTTTTGAAAAACTTTAATAAGGGGTCATCCATAAATTACGTCACACGTAAATGGGGAGGGAGGGTATCACCGAAATGTGACAATGTGTGACAAGGGGCAGGGGGTCAAAAGTTTTGTGACGTCACATGTTAAAATTTAAAATACTAAAACGCGAAATTTAGATGTGAATAAAAAACTATAAAAATCTACGAACTTGATCTATATTTATTAAGAATTTAGCATTCTTGCTATCTGAAATATTGGACTTTATGTTGATTTTATTAGATTATTTAATAAAAAAAAGTAAAAAATTAAAATAGCTGTTTTCTCTCGATTATTTTTAAATACATGCCTAAATTTAAAAAATGTGTGACGTCACATCAGGAGGGGGGGATTCTAAAAATGTGACAATCTGTGACAAGGACGGAGGGAGGGGTTCAAAAGTCCTAAAATTCGTGTGACGTAATTTATGGATTACCCCTAATGACAAAAAGCAAAATGCCACGATTTTTTAAATGTCGAAAAGTTTCATTAGCAAAGTTGTTACAAATTCCACGAAAGTCTAATACTTCAATTGTTTTATAAAAAAATACATACAAATTTTATGACCTCTTGGAAGTCCCGATCTGAAATAAATGGATTTAAATTATCACTTAAAAATTTCTGGCATAATTTTGTGAATCATATCAGTTTGTCAAAGCTATATAACTGATATGAAATGACGTAATTATTTTATGTATGTAGATACAATGTTATTTTTAAATTTATAAGCAGCTTTGTAGATTTTTATTAATTATTTCGATTATATGTCGCCGATAATGAAAATATATTATATTAATTTTTCTGTATAGGTCTACAGTGTGTGTGAAATTAATATAGTAATAAAGGTATCTCAACAGTGGAATAAATTTCAAACAATTAGTTGTTTACTTCCTTCAGTCAGGTTTATTGTTTTATTTTCAAAATTAAAATATACGTATATTAGCCGAAAATGCCCAGCAAAATATAGTACATTCTTAAATAAACATTTTCAGGAACGTAGGTACTAAATTATAAAAATTGACATTGTCATGATGACAGATACGTTTCAGGGCATATAAAGAATTGCGTAGCTGCCGCAGACAATCGCACTAATTGTAAGTAAAGTTTTCTAATTACCATAGTAACATATTGTGTCGATAATTTAAAAAATTACGGTTCTGAAAAAAATTTAGACTCAAATAGGCACAAATTTTGAAAAGAAAAAGCTGCAATTACTAATTAACCCGAGAATCTGGGCTAACAAATATTAGGTTATAACTCTTTTCAATGGTTTGGCGTTTGGTTTTATGATCTATAACATTATCCAATTAGTGTTTTTAAATTTTAATGTAGTGCATACTAGTATGCTGTACCTTTGAACTCTGAAAACACGAGAATATATATTTTTAAATACTTATTTTTTAAATATCTTAAATACTTAGTAATACTATAAGGTATACAAGTCCACCTCAGTAATCCGAAAATTTATTATGTTTTGTAATAACTGTTTATAATAGGAGCAAAGGGGCAACTTCAATTGTTATTAGTTCGATAGAAGAATTTTTATTATTTTTTTGTACTTAATCTGGGGTAGCTAAACACGAATATTATAGCATTTTCGCCTTAGAAGCAAAATAGACCCGTAAATGTTTAGTTTTCTTTCTTTAAAAGTTATTTTCATAAAATAAAAATTGAAATAGTAATTTGAAAAAAACATACCCAAAAAAGTGCAACTTTTTCAGTCATTTTTTGATCCTTAAAATTAATAAAATCGTCAACATTTTTTAACAGCATGATAATATAACTCTTTACGAAGAAAATAAACCGAAAATCGTTACTGTAGGGCTATCCGCTGAGAAGATCTAGCCAATTTTCGAGAGCGCCTTTTTTTCAAAAAATCGATATATCTCGAAAAATAATTAATATTTTTAAATTTTTCAAAAATGTACTTTTTTGGCTTGCCGCGGGCTATGCTTGCAGTAAATAGCAAATATGGGCACGTAAATGTAAACGAGTTATAGAAGAAGAGAAAAGAGAAGATTTTTAACGGTTTTTTCGATATATCTCGAAAAGTAACAAAGCAATCGATACTTTCAAAAAATCAGTCGATAGATCTTTTTAAAACCTACAACTTTCTCATTTAAAATTTTTCAATCCGTGCTATATTTTTTTAGTTATTTTAGAAAAACCGTTTTTTTCAACTTTGCGATTTTTTTAACCATGTTCGCCACATTGGATCGAGTTTAAAGAACAAGAAACTCAATTTAAAATTTAATTTTCTATACGGTCATATTTTTTTTGTCCAGGTAATCATTTCTGTAAGCATTTTCTCTATAATGCTTGGACTAATATGTCGAACTGGACCACTGGATCTGAACGGAAAGTAGTAAAGCCGATAGCTTATCCTCAACCAAATTTGCCGGCACGGATGGTCAAGCGTTTGTGTAAGAAGTCTCAAGACCCCCAAACTCTGAAACAAAAATCATATACATTAATTAACAGTGACCTCCATTAAAAATTCCATTTCAAATAATTCCAAAATAATAAAACGATGTTTCATACATTTTATTTATTTGTAATTTTGTACGACCTGGTATTTTAAGCAAACCTAAAACACTTTGTGAAAGGCGTGAAAGATTTTGCTTAAGAAAAAGATCTTATTTCCTTCACGAACCAGGTCTTTCACCGACTGGATCTATAGTAAGCCACTGCCGACTTGGTCTGTAACCCATTAAACTTGTAGTTCATGCACACAAATATCCATCCTTCGGCGATTTGTATGCATCAGATCTTTGACTTTCTGAACGTGGGTGTCATCAGTTGACGTCATAGGCCTTCCTGGTCGAGGATCATCTTCAACTGACTGCCGATAACTTTTCATGAAAAATGAAACGTTTCCGTGAAAGTTTTCACTCAAAATTTTTCTTTGCATCGTTCCAGAAAATTGCACATTTCAAAAATCGTCACTGACATTTAAACACGTTGCACTCAGATAACAATATCACAAAAACTAAATGAGATATCAACAGTCCAAGAGCATGTTGTTACAGGGGAGATTAAGCGCAATGCAATGCTGCCAACCGCATATCACTAAATATCCCCATTAGCGCGTAATTTATCTCGTTGATGACGTTATGCGCCGATAGGACGAAATTAAAGTAAGTAAAGTTAAAAGTTTTTCACGTACAAATAAAAAAAATGCCGTTGAAATTTTGTTCGTGACATGTATGAACCGAATATTTCACTGACCTAGTCTAGTCACTAACATATGTGTCAAAAAGACTGGCAAAGACTGGCGTGGTAGGTGGCATACGATATCATCTATAGTAAAATATCCCTCCTTCTCCGGGCATCTATTGATTAAAATTGACACATTAAGGCCCGGTACTTTGAGTCTCGGTTAAGACTCGATTAACTAAACAGGCGATTAGAATGTGAATATACATTATAAAATAAATTATAATATATACAGTCTAATCGTGCGATTACTTAACCAAGGCTTAACCAAGACTCAAAGTACCGGGCCTAAATTAACTAATTTTAGGTGATTCCGAATACGAAGTAGATCTAATACAACAAACTTGGAATATAGGATGATCTTCGCTTCTCTCTCTTTTTTCGCCTCCACTTTTACACCCCCCAGCCTCCCTCACTCACTCGCTCAGACAAATCCAGCGAACGCTACGAAAATACGAATATACAGTATTTTAAAAAACTGATTGCTAAAAAATCCTATTGCATTTATTATAAATTATAATTGATCAATTTTTTAATACTTTTATTTATTCTTCAAGAACGTTAAAACGTATGTAGTTAACAATCAGAGTTTAATCGTAGAAAAATTATTAATTAATTTTTAACAAACCTCAAACAAATATTCTTAATTGTAAATTTTGTTACAGATCCATACGCAATACCAAAGGCAGCCAGCACACTGTAATAGTCGCTATTATCAAAAAAACGTAAGTCTTTCTTTAATTGTCTTCTAGTAACCTCTTTAAAAATATATGTTTGAGGAATATGTATTATAAAGTCTAAGGCTCTATATGATACGGTCACTTGCCAAACGTAAACAAATGGTCTATAATAAAATCGTAAACAAATTCCTCTTCCTGTAGAGTGTAGATAGTGCATATTGATGTATACCGTTCTCTTCTCTCGATAGTAGTCGCTAATGGAGCCTCGACCTCGAGGAATTGGGTTACTGCGGATTGCTTCAACGACGCACCGTACTCAGAAAATGTACGCTATCGAGAGCCTCTCACTTGTTGACTCTCTGATTTCCTCTTAAAGTAGAATCCGGACCTGATGTTCTAAAGAATAAGACAAGCTCTTTCTGTTGTCCGCAACTTGTAGTGTACATACCGCCTGGCCTTCAACAGCGCTTTTTTTCACTATTTATTTTTTGGAGCACTTCTAGTTTTACTGCTTGGCACTTGTTCCGTACCCTTTCACTGTCTCTTTTGGCGGATCCAAAGTGCTCATTAGAACATTTTGGATCCGCCAAAGGTCGTGGTTAATCCTGAGCAAGGTGGATGCTAGATTTATAATCTGAATACACGTAGTACTGAATGTACAATGGTACGAAATTTAGAAAACGATTGGGCAGGCACTTGGTCCTGCCTACTTATCCGGAAAAAAACTGAGTTCAAACTCGTTTCGGCACGGCTTCTGAAGTGACTCTTCGGTACGATGTTTGCTGTCGTCTCGACTGTGTAGGAACTTGCATTTGTGTTGGGCAGTTTGGTCCCTTGTCGTAGTTCGAATTTCGTGATTTCCCTTGTGTGAAATTGTTTGTTTGACAGTCCTTTAAGCTCTGCTAATGTCGTTCACTCTGGCAGGGTGGTTTTGAATCAGCAGCTCTGTAGACAGCTTCAGCGGTTCACTTCAAAAGTTAGTTGAAGACTCGGATGTTGAAAAGCCACTGTCTGGGTGGCTCTATGTCCTTGAACCCTGTCCTTGAGAGTGGTTTTTCGTAAGAAAAAGCAAATATTCGCCAGCTGTTGACATGCAGACAATTAGTAAATACACATATCGTGTATAGAACGTTATTTTTATACATCTGTACATTGTGCGTGTGTATGGCACAACTTGTGCCTATATTTATTTTTTCCAAATAATCTGCAAATATTTTACACATATAAGTTTGGCGAATGTTTGGTTAGTGACTGCATCATTTTTAGTCGACTTAAGTATGTCTTTACAGAAATAATAAAAAATGTTTTATGTTCAAAACGCTATTTTTTGAAGTAGAAATATTTTATTCTTTAACTTTATTATACATTTTTTACTTTGATTAGTATGTTTACTAAATTCCTATGCAACAAATTTCTGTTCTGTTAACCGATTTTTATATTGTTTTAGTGCGTTCGAAAAAGATGACGCCACGATCGCCACCCTGCTGGACTCAGGATTCAATAGGGTAATTTTTTTTATCTTTCGGGGACTTTTAATTCCGTACATAAAGCCCATTACTTTATAAACCAAGCTCTCTTTTATGTTCAGCCTTGTTTACTTTGTTTTCCTTTGAAATAGAATCCTGTAATTCGGTCCCTTGTACCAGTGCCAGTTTTTCCTGCGACTACTAATAAGAAAGGCCCTTATATACAAAAATACCAGAGCCCGCATTCTTGTGCATGTAAACTTTGTGTCCGATTATTTTTTTACAAGATAAAACAGCCTCTACCTCTGTGGGAGGGTTACTTAAAAGCAGCTTTAAGTTATTTCTGTTTTTAACGTTTTTTATATGTAGGGTTGTTTTGAAGGCCTAAGGTCTTTTGTAATTAAAGAAACTGATTAGTCTAAGAATTAGGTGCATTGTATCAGTTAGTACTTTTGTAGACGTTGACAGACAGAAATTAGCACAAGTTGTTTCTGACGCCAGTAATTTACTGATCAAAGCTCCACCTTTTACAAAAAGGAAAACACTAAATCAAAGAAATAAAAATTAATATTTGTAGCTTTGCTAATCGTAAAAATTAATAATCTGGGGCACCGCTCTCCCACAGACTCCCTTATACAGAGTGTTTCAGTTCGAGTGAATCAAACTTTAACCACAAATAGAACTCAATAAATAATTCAGAATTGCCTTAAAAGCAAGGGTCTAAGCCTCGTTGCACACTAGCCGGACCGGCTAACCGGACCCGGCTATCCGGATCCGGCTGGCTCTTTCACACGTAAATTAATTTTAAACCGGTTTGGCCGATATTAGTCTCAGTTGCATTTTTATGACGACAAGAGATGAATCGTGGCTTGGCTATTGCCGATGTCGTTGCAATAAAAAAAAAACAAAAAATATGAAAAATATCCAAGAAATATGAAAAGGATACAGTTTTGTCCCACTGGACAGGTCTGGATTCAAGCAGTGCTATAACGAATGCTATATCTACTTCTAGCGAACAAACATTCGATATAGTTGCGTACAAATATTTAAAGCCGGTACACGGGAGCCGGGCTGGCAGTGGTGGCGGCCGTTCGCCGGATAGCTCCTTCCGTCACGTGTGAAAGCTGCCATAAGACTCTGTACACCTTACTGCCGGCTAACCGGATCCGGTTAGCCGGTTCCGGCATGTGTGCAACGGGTGTCATGGCGACCGGCTACAACCCGGCAGACGTTCGCCGGATAGCTCCTTCCGTCACGTGTGAAAGCTGCCATAAGACTCTGTACACCTTGTTGCCGGGTAAACGGATCCGGTTAGCCTGTTCCGGCATGTGTGCAACGGGTGTAAATCTCACCGTTTTCACTGTACAGGGCCGTATTGGTCGGTTTTTAAAATCATATTATTTACGAAATCTTTGGTATGCTTATATTCAAATTGAGTATGGTGTTAACATTTACACATGTGCATAATTTACTGTAAAATTTACAAATTTGTATAGGTCAGTGGTGTAGGAATGGGTAGTAAAGCGGGATTTTTTACCCCAACTTCTACTCCAATGACCTAATAATCATTTGAGATTCATTTTTAGATTCCGTGGACAATTCTATATAAAAAAGGTATACTTGTTGAAAATCGATATAGTGTATCGTTTTAACGAAAATCTTAGTTGAATAGAAGACCGTTCTTCTGATAAGAAATTTAGTTTCTTAAGGATAGGAAATAAATTTTAAATTAATATTATTTCCATTAGAGTTGAACTTCTGATATGAAAAATGTTATTAGCAAGCATCAAAATAATCTATTTCTTATTACTGTAGGTATTTTATAAATAGAAACCATTAATAAGTAACATTTGGTAGATACAACTTTTGCAATTTTATTTTATAAAAATATAAACGTAGCAAATAACACAATAACATAAAAGAATATTAAATAATATGTTCCAAATGACTTCTGTTAGCTCCTTACGCATGTTCTACATTGACGATGCAACGACTGGTAGACTCTAAACATAATCCCTTGTGTATTATTTAAAGCGTGATAAATTCTTTCTCTGAAGTAATTTTCGTGTTGCGGTACAATGTGATAAACAAGCTGCTTCAAGTGATCCCATACAAAGAAATCCACGAGATTAAGGTCCGGGGACCGTTGTGGCCAACGGATTGGTCTGTTTCCTATCCACCTATGTCCATAGGTTCCTGTTAACCATTCAGTAACCTGTCTTGCATTGTGTGGAGGGGCACCGTCATGTTGAAAATGAACATATTGCCTCAAGTTTAATGGCATGTCCTCTAAAATTTCATGTGAGCAATTTTAAGTATCTTCGCTCATTCAATGTACTATACAGGGTGTATCTAAATAACACCGAAAAAATTCAAGGGGCGATTTTCCGATGAAAATTAATAGGGGTCTTTGGTATAAAAGAAACCAAACTTGGTGAACATTATCTGTCAATAAAACTACACTTTTTGAATTTTTTTCAACCCTGAACTATTTTTGTAAGGGGTTGAAATAATCAACCCCTATGACATTTTTTCTTATAATTTTTTTTTCGATAAAATTTTTTCCTTTTAAAAAATATGTCTAAAAAACCCCATTCATTTACTAACTTTTTGATCTCTTCAAGTTTCTTCGAAAAGTTAAGGATTTATGACAAAAAAAAATAAATGTATTGTAATGTATTTTTAAAAAGATGAGCTGTTTAACGCGAGTGTATTTTGCCGAAAGATCTAGTGGCCTGTTCTTTACAATGGAATCCGTAGAAACAAATGTCAATGTCATTTATTGTCATATTAAATAACATTTTATTAAAAAACACTCAACCAAATAGTTGACCTATGATTCTACTAGGCTAAGAAGTTTGGAACTTAGACTAAAAGTGAACAAATGATGAATAATGTTATAACAGTAACAAAAAATAAAAATCTGTCGGATATTGACAATACAATCTACAAAAAATGTTGAAAATGATTGCCTTCAGCTTCAATACAAGCATCTACTCTTGTTCTCATAGAATTGCGTATGCGTTCAAATATTCCTGGTGAATTTTTTATCGTTTCACACCCTGCTACAATGCGGTTTCGCAAATCATTGATATCTTCAACTGGCCTTGAGTAGATCAAAGATTTCAGATATCCCCATATGCAAAAATCCAAAGGATTAAGGTCAGGGGAGCGGGCTGGCCAATTTACATATCCTCCTCGACCTATCCATCGATTGGCATACACCTCATCCAAGTGACGTCTTGCACGTATACTAAAGTGGGCTGGTGCACCGTCGTGCATAAACCATAAACGTTGCCTAATTTGAATGGGAACTTCTTCAAGAATAATAGGTAATTCTTCGAGAAGATGACAATATGAGTCACCATCTAATCGTCGTGGAAGAAAATAGGGACCAATTAAATGATCGTCGATAATTCCGAGCCACACATTTAATGAAAATTGATACTGATGATTTCCTTCAAAAAAGTCATGAGGATTTTCCTCAGCCCAAATATGATTGTTACGAAAATTTCTAATACAGTCTCTTGAGAAATTCGCCTCGTCAGTAAATAAAATATTTCTTAAGAACTGCGGCGCTTGGCCGATCATATTAATAAGCCATTGACAAAAAACCACACGTGGTAAAAAATCTCGAATCAGTAACGACTGCACCCGTTGGAGATGATAGGGATATAACTGTTGTTCTTTTAAAATTCTAAAAACTACCGAATGGCTTACATTTAGGACACGAGCTATTTTCCTGGTACTAGTTTCTGGGGATTCCTCAATTAAATTAAGTACGGCTTCATCGACAGCTTCAGTTCTAACTTCTCGGCTACGGCCACAGTCATGACTTCTCTTTTCAAATTTTCCAAGTTCCCGCAAGCGTTGGTGAATATTTGTGAACGTAGTATGGTGGGGTAATCTACGCTCTGGGTACTGTTCAGCATAAAGTCTTTGCGCTTCCAATGCATTACCGTTAGCATACCCATATGTAAAATGCATATCTGCCATTTCTAAATTCGAATAGTTAACCATATTTTCGGTTTATTAACTAATATTTTCTACACAAAATCATGAAACTTGTGAAATAGTAAGAAACAGTAACAATAAATGACATTGACATTTGTTTCTACGGATTCCATTGTAAAGAACAGGCCACTAGATCTTTCGGCAAAATACACTCGCGTTAAACAGCTCATCTTTTTAAAAATACATTACAATACATTTTTTTTTTTTTGTCATAAATCCTTAACTTTTCGAAGAAACTTGAAGAGATCAAAAAGTTAGTAAATGAATGGGGTTTTTTAGACATATTTTTTAAAAGGAAAAAATTTTATCGAAAAAAAAATTATAAGAAAAAATGTCATAGGGGTTGATTATTTCAACCCCTTACAAAAATAGTTCAGGGTTGAAAAAAATTCAAAAAGTGTAGTTTTATTGACAGATAATGTTCACCAAGTTTGGTTTCTTTAGCTTGATGTACGTGGAAGATAAAAAAGAAAAACAATTTTTTTTTGTAATTTTAGGAGGGGCGTAACTTTTCAGGGGAAGGTTTTTTCAAAAAATTTTATACCAAAGACCCCTATTAATTTTCATCGGAGAATCGCCCCTTGAATTTTTTCGGTGTTATTTAGATACACCCTGTATATTTCAAAGACATATCTACCTATAATTTTTTTCGAAAAATTGCACACCACATATTAATCTTAAATATGTGCTGACCCCTCTTCTTGTTAAATGTGGATTTTGTAGTGACCATTGATGTAGGTTTCTAAAGTTATTTAGTCCATTTTTAAGGAACACGCTTTCATTGTTCCAAATAACATTTTGTAAAAAGTGTGGATCTTCCGTCAAATTTTGGATGATCCAGTTACAAAATTGTAATTGTAGACGGCTCTCACCCTCTTCTAAATGTTGCACTTGTTGGTAGTGGTATGGATGTAGCTGCCCTTGATGAGAAGCCCTCCATACAGATATGTGGGGAAGCTATAACTCTCGTCCGATTTGTCTCAATTCGGGATTATCAACTACCCGTTCAATAATATTTTCGTCAT